TGGGTCTGTGGTCACCTATGCAAATTGGTGAGGATTTTTACCAAACCTTCCCCAGGAAGTGGGGTGCAAGGGTTGGGAGGATTTTGGTGGGAAAGACGTTTCCAAACGACGCTTTCCTAATAAAAATAAACCCAGATAAATGTTTGGTGGTGGCAGTGGAAGTCCAAGGGCAAAGGGTAAAATAGTTTGTACCTTGTGGAAGTTTTAACCTAAGCTGGTAAAAGTAAGCTTAGGAGGTTTTCATGCAGGTCCCCACATCTGTACCCTAGAGTTCAGAGTGGGGAAGGAACCTTGACAGTAACTTTGTATATTCTTTTGAACAATGTTTCCCAAATAATTGGTAATAAGCCACTGATGTCTTCCAGGAAGGGTCTGGGTATGTCACCTGTCACCCTTCCAATCAGGTCCCGCCTCCATGTGTGCCCCGAAGCACTAATCCTGACTTCTCTCTTCTGCTGGGCTGGGGCAGGAGGCAGCGATGTGGGGAGCAAGGTCTGGACAGTTGCAGCAGCAGTGTGGAGGAAGTGGCCGGAGCTAGTGAATGGACAGTTAGCAGCCTGTTAGTGGTCGCAGCCCAGCCATGGGGGAAGAGGGGCCAGCTGGGGGGTAAGGGGGAGAGCAGGCCTGGGAGACCAAGGGCAAGGGGGCTGGGGAGAGCCAAGCGTTGGCTTGGGGGCTAGGATGGACTGGGGAGGGAGGAGCAGGGAGCTGTAGGACTGAGTGTAGGGGAAGCAGAGGAGCTGAGTAGCTGCAAACAAAATAAAAATGTCTGCACAATTACATGATTTAAAAAAAATAGTATTTTTATTTTTTTACACACACACACCAGGAGTGAGGGGGTGATGGATGATTGGCAGATCCCTGGTGGGTCGCCTTAGTAAAAAGTTTGGGACCCACAGCCTTAGAATATTAGGTCAGCTTGGATTGACTGTATGGCTGTCAGTCATACTGTTAACAGTATAATTGGCTGTGACCCTTTGTCTGAGAAAATAAAAACTCACTCGTCAGCCTCCAACTCTCCCCCAGAACATGAATTAGCAGATACTTACCTGTAGAATATTCCACTTGAAGTTAAATATCTTTCTTTTCTCTAGATGTCTTCTTGTAGGTGTCAAGCAACAGGAGGGTAGAAGGGGGCTTTCTGGCCTAATACTTGAATTGAATCCAAGTTCTTGATATTAACGTGACCTTGGGTTAAAGCCAAATACTTTCTGTATCATATGCAATTCTTAGTGAGTTTAAGTCACTTTTTCTACTGTGGTTTGGTCTAGTCTGGTCAGAATCTTACCTGTACTGCCAGCTCATATCATTCAAAAATCACGAGTCAGGCCCAAAAGAATCATGAGATTGTTAAAAGTAACACCTTTACGTCCTCTCTGGTGTTTGAAATTTCAGGGTTCATGTTTCCCACCTTTTCTTTGCAACCAGGAGGTTAGTGACATGACTCCAGGAGCTAGGTCTTTCAGTAGATCAGAATATCACAAGACTCTCAATAGAATCACCAGAATTAGCATAATTGCTAAACTCACTGATGGCTTATTTACCTGGTAATAGGTTTCCTTTCCTTTTTTTTTCAATTTATTTTTATTTATGTCGATAAGACTCCATTGAAAATGGAGTTTCATCAGATTAGTTAATGGAAAGTGGGTGGTGGTAGGCACATGCTGTGTGACGGGGCAAGAGACGTGTCTCTTCAGGCTATATATAAAGTTATTCTTATACAGTAGTGTATTCAGTGTCATATTTTAGTATTTTCAGTGTATTTGGCAAATTATCATTTTTATTATCATTTTCCTCCTTCCATATTGCAATTCAACAGCCTCTCTCCTTCAATAAAGTTTGAGTTTCTGCTAGTCAGCACTGAGTAGCTCAAGATTGTGTCAGGGTTCTGCTAGCTTGGAGTAGCTTAATGACATCTTGCTAGATAGGACATCAAAAGTAAATCTTTGTTAATCGACTCCAGGAACCTAGTTGTCCTCCTTTTTGTGGTGGCTGTCACGCTGTCTGGAGTGGCTCATGACCGTGAGTGCCTACCTTAGGGCAGACATCGCAAACTGGCGGTATGTTCTATAATTCGATTTCACCAACGTAGTAACAAATGTGAACTCCCAAAGTACTGTAATAGTCTTATATGGAGTCACAGCCAGGCCTCTTAGACACTCCAGTCTTTTTTGCCACCCAGGCAAACTGGACTATGTGATAAGTGGTCACTTACAACAAAAAAATCACAAAATATTCTGGTTGCACCCAGTCCAAAGAAAGCAGTCACTCACCCAGGTCAATTTGCACCCCAGATCTCACATTAAATACAACGCTGGCAGCCAAGGTGTATTAGTTGAGAGAAAAAAGGAGTTGTTCAGAGGTTAAAGCAGATGAAAATATATGTACGGATGAGTCACAGTCTATAACTTTGAAAGGTAGCAAAGATGTAGTAATCTGCCAGTTCACAAAAATTTTTTAGGGCTACGCAGAGTAACTCTGGGGACCTTAGTCTTTTCTTTCAGTTAGAATCCAAACAGTCCAGAGATGAAGAATTCTTTCTTGTAAACATATTTATAGCCTCTTCTCACACAAACCAAGCTGACAGCAGCAGTTCCCACACAGGCCCCTTCTTCCGGAGGGTGGGGAGGTATGCACTTTACAAAGTCTTTGATCCTTGATCTCACACAATGGCTCATTTTTGTTTAATGAACAGGATTTAAAACATCTTGTAAGAAACCAGCATTTGCATTCTTTCTTGTTCGATGGGTTACTTAGTTATAAGGCTATATACAATACAGATGTTTGCTGTTATGTTCTGACTTGGGGTACAGCTGAGTGAGAACAATATATGCAGCATCCTACAAGCATTTTATAAACCACTAACCACATTCTTACAATCTTAACATATACTATTTATTTTGATAATGCTAACACAGATAAGCAAGACTGGTTTCTAACTATGCACTTGTAAGTGTTCAGTGAGGCCTGGGGCTTTGTCATAAGCTGGCACCTGGTCTGCCAGCCTCACGGTGGCTATAAATCTTCTCTCTCTGTTTATCTTGTATCATTCTGCTAGAATATGAAAGATAATTTCCTGTGGTATGCTTGTTCCCTATCATAAATACTTGTTCGCACTTTGATATTTTTGTCATAATTTTCATTCTATCTAAGCCACAAATCCTTGTCCTTTTTTTTTTTTTTTTAAATTTATAATACTCTTGCGGCTTTGACAATACTCTTGTCAGCTTACCAGAAAGAATATTTTTGAGCTCTTAGTATCCATAGTATTGTCAAGTAAATACAGTTTGTGAGTATTCTCACTTTGTATTACTCAATCTTTGTATTGAATTATGAGAGTTCTGCTGACAGATTTCCTTTATTAGCTGTGGCATATAGCCCATAACAGTATTCTTACTAGCTCTCCCCCTATGCGTGCTTTCTCCCCCTATACACACTTTCTTTTACACTACTGTAGGCATAGAAGTTGAGGTTAACATTAACTTTAGTGAGTGGCTGGCTAAATCCCCCTGTCAGCTTTGAAATCTCAATCGGAGTGTTTATTCTAGAAAGATCTGTAGGGACTCTGGTCTTATTTTTAATTGGTATCTCTACGTGAGTTGTGAGGATGAGGTAATGGGAGAGAGTATGTAGGTGTTGGTCTGTCAATGATTACTGATAACAAGTTACCATAATCAGCTAAACTGTTGACAGAATGATTTAATGGTTGAGCAGCAGAACCCACCAGAGATATCTGGACCTGCACTAGGTCCGTCAGCGCCCTAACAGATCTTCCCCCTGAAAGAAGCTGACCTTAACCTTGAGCAAGAAGTGGTCTGGCTTTGATAAAGATGTTATCTTCAGACCCCCAACTCACAGACCAAAGATAAGATCCAGAGTGTGTCCTGCTATGGATTGAGTTGGAAATTTTGTGGGACAGTCCTGTGATTTCAAGCTGGCCATGAGATCCCATTTTGATGTGAACACTGAAATTCAGCAGAAAGAATAAGTATTGATTATTCCTAGTTTAGGCTGGATATCAATCAGAACTTCTTGACCCAAGGAAAATTGTGAGAGTCCCATCACTAGAAACTTTTAAAACAAGACTGAACAAAGTCCTAGGAAATATGCTGTAAAGAGCAAGGATGGTGATTAATTGGAGAGGGTTCAGAGAAGAGCCACAAGAATGATTATAGTACAGTATTAGAAAATATGCCTTATTGTGGTAGACTTAATAATGTCTATCTACTTAATGAAAAGGTTAAGAGGTGACTTGATCTCAGTCTAGAATTACCAACATGGGGAACAGATATTTGATAATGGGCTCTTCAGTCTAGCAGACAAAGGTATAACAAGATCCAGTGATAGAAAGTTAGACAAATTCGTACTGGAAATAAGGTGTAATTTTAACAGTGAGGGTAATGAACTATTGGAACCAGTTACCAATGGTTGTGGCGGATTCTCTATCCCTGACAATTTTTAAATCAAGATAGGATGTTTCTTTAAAAGATATGCTCTAGATCAAAAGGAATTATTTTGGGGGAGTTCTATGGATCGTGTTATACAGGAGGTCAGACTAGATGATCACAATGGCCCCTTCTGGCCTTGGAATCTATGAATCAATGCTGCATTGGCAGGGTATTGGAGCAGCTTACACTAAGGGATCTATTTCAACTTAACCATCTGTAATTCTACTTTGTAAGTTAATTTTATTTTTATTACATAAAACTGCCTTTAGAGTGTATGTTTATGTTGCATGAACTGTGAACTCTGGTTCCGGAGGTTAAAAACAGGAAACTTGTCAGTTCTGGGGAAGCGGAGTTGGGCCAACTGCATTGCCATTTCAGTTTCCTGGTTTATGGTCAGATAACTTCAGAATATTATAAATACTTGGTGTTTGTTAATTCAAAGTAAATATACCATTTTATTCTTATAAATGAAGTGGCATATTAGCAACCAATACTTTTGGAACTTTTGCATAATTAGTTAACTTTTAAATTTCTCTGAATTTTTGCCAACAGGATTGATCGTAAAATGTCAAATGCTCATACAAATTATAAACTGGATGAAGCCCAGGCCATAATGAATGAGCTCCGAACCATAAAGAAAGCTATTTGTATGGGTGAGAAAGAAAGGCAGGACCTTATGCAGGTAAGAAACTTTCTACTGGATGAATAGCTGCAAAAATGTAGCTTCCCCTGGTCTCTGCTGTTTTCCCTTGTTTGTAGGTGCATAGGAATTGCTAAACTGAATCAGATAGTGGTCTGATCTAGTCTGATATTCTGTCTGACATTGATCAGAAGTAGAGGAGAGGTGCAAAACCCACATCGTGGACAGATTATGCAGTAACATGCTTATCTGGAAAGTTTCTTACTCATCCCTATCCATTAGTGGTTGGCCTATGTCCTGAGCCTGAGAGTTCATATCCCTGAATCATTTATACCCTAGATAGTATAACTAAATCTTATTATTCATATAAATGTCTCATCTTTATTTTAATCCATGTAAACTCTTGACTTCACGGATACCTTGAGTTTCACAGAGTAATTACATTACATAAGAAAATATATTCTTTGATCAGTTTTACATTACTTGTCTTTAATTTCATTTTATGTTCTCTTTTTGTTTGTATAATGAAACAGGGAATGTGCTAACCCACTTATTATTTTATATATCTCTATACCATGTTTCCTCCTATCTTCTTTAAACTATGAAGTGTTTATTTTATTAATTTATCCTCATTTAGAATCTATCCAGGCCTCTAATAACATTTTTGCCCCTCTTGACCATTACAGCTTGTCCTATGGTTTTTAAAAATTCAGTGATCCACCTTTTTGGCTTCAACTTCCAACGGAGGACTAGTAGTACTATGATGTACTAGTCCAGATAACTGGAATGTAATCACATATGATTGTATGAAGCCTCTTCATCTCTATCTCACTATCATTAGGCATTAACCTCTCCCCTTTCCTTTTTTTAAGTCTCAACTACATACCATATGTTAGCATTATACACCTTATTAAAAAAACCCAGAGAGCCTGTGGGCTCGGAAAGATGACAAGGATAGTTCTGTTAAATCACCTCTGCTGTGCAAGGGAATATCTTGGCTGCTAACTTTTAGGAGCCTAGTAAGTTAACATAGCCTTTCAAATGCATCTTTCATCTCTCTCTGCAGTAGTTTCATCATGTTCTGTTACCTTTTGTTTGATTAATTATCTGGGTATCTTGTAATCTTCTTATATTATGTTTCCATAGTTTAAAAATTATTCAGTCTCTGAAGCATTACCCAAAGGTCAGCTGATGGACTACAAAACATTGTCTAAGTAGGCAGAACAGTGAAGTCACTATTAAAAATTTCAGCCTTGGCAACTTTCAGTATATTTGCTATTTTGTATTGGCCAACTTTTAAAATGGTTTTCAGCCTTCCACATGCCATGGCTAGTGAGAAGAATTAGAAAAGCAATTCTTCCTGGATTCCATAATGCACATTTGGGGAAAGTAACTGGCAGTTCAAAGATTTGTGTGTGAGAAATCTTGGATCAGCTCAACTACTGACCTTGTTTAACTCTCCCACTAGACTATTTTTTTTATTCTTATGTCTTAACCCAGCAACACAGTGTCCACCTGAAAGACTGAGAAGTCTTGAGAATTGGACCTTTAAAACAAACTTTAAGAGTGATAGCAGTGGCCTAAAAAGTACTATTAAGTAATTACAAATCTAGGATCAAGTTAAATATCATGGACTGAAACGGGTCCTCTGGCAAGCCTGGAATAAGAAGTCATACAGAACAAATGAGACATTTAGGATGATATTGGTCGTTGGTTTTAGATCTGTTTTACTGATGAGAATTGAAGTTGTCACAATTGTATATTTCTTCCAGTGCGTATTATGGTGCAATAGTCTTTTAATATTCATTTGTTTCAAAATTAGTAGTTACATATTTTATTCAATTTTGGCATACTTTACAATCCTGACCCAATTTTAAGGTTTAACAAAATAAAAATATTTAAATTTCAAAATATGAGTATATCAGTCATGTAGAACCAGAATGAAGTCTGTTTAAAATTTTCCATATTACTCTTACATTTTAAAAACATTGCTTAGCAGGAGAAGGGAAAAAAAATCTCACTCACAATAAACACATTTTGGAAAAAGCAGTGGTTTTGGAGGAATTGGGAGTTTTATGTTTAAACACTTCGTAAATTATTCCAGAAAGAGGAAATAGAAAACTTCATAACTACCTCTTAATCTAAATCTGTAAGGTGTAGGCAGTGGACCTAAACATAGCAGAGGTGACTCAGTCTTCTGTAGGTGCTCAGAAAACTGTGGCTGTTGTAGAAATATGATAATTGGACGAGGATATGTGGGAGAGAAGTCTGAGGCAAGGAAGGAAGAGGGGGACAGATTTAAACTGGGTGCTGTGGTTAGAAATAATGCCATATATGTGGTGTCATTGCTCCAAAAAGATGGGGGAATGTTTATAAAGTTTGTGTGCGTGGTTAGACTTCTGAGAGCTACTCTTCCCCCGTGCCTCCAAAGTGTAGATTTATATTGATTTTGTCTGCGCCAGTGTGTGTGTTTCTTTTTTAATTTTAACAGCCATTGACAGCCCTGGGGAGATTTTCTTTTTCTTTTACTGGGTTGGGGGATTGAGTAGGAAATATTGAAGTTGAAGAGTTGTTTCTATCTAACATGAAGTACAGGTCTCTTGCCCCAAAATAGTATCTGATAGTGTGTGTGTGTGTATGTGTATTTGGTATAGTGTCCCCAGGATAGAACTATGAAGTGGGAGAAGTTTCAGGCAGAAGACCCCCATTGCCCTACACCCAGCACAGCTCCATTTTCCCTGTACCTCGTGGAGATGAATGACTTTGAGCCGGGCAGGATAGATGAAAGTGGGACCACACCGTGTGGTAGAGCATGTGTGGGAATCAGAGGGCATTAGGCCCCTCTCCTCTATTAGCTTTCAGGAAGGGCTTTTTTCTTGCTTCTGTAGTTGTCCAATTGTAAGCAAAGGGGAGATGCCAGAAGTACCATGTTGTCTGCAGCTCTTTGTGAACTACGGTTTGAGAACCACTGAGCTATATTATGTCTTTTTTTTCTTAATAAATTGGGTGTGCCTAATAACTAAAGGTCGTTGCAAATTCGCAATCCCCATGGGAACCTAAAATCAGCAAACTGTGTTTCACTGGCACTGAGCCTCTGTAGTTTAGAATCCGATTAGTTCTTTGTAAGGTAACAGTCTTCTACCTGATGCTGGTCAGTATGGTCATAGTAGGTTAACTTAATTTTTGATGGGATTTGTTAGTGTGGCTTATCTCTTTTTGGGAATGTGTGGGAGAAGTTTATTTAAATATTTTATGTTTAATTTTTTCACAGTGGTGGATGCCAGTGGTCTCTCTCATGCATGCCACACTGTATGGTTTTTGTTTTAATTGTGCCAAAAGAAAAAATCTTTTGAAAGTTTGCAGGACCGGGTGAATAATCAAATAGTCAAATCATGAAATTAAAAATTGGCTATTTATCTTGAAGAAAAACTCTGCTTAATGGGAACTTTAAAAACCCCAAATCATGTTGATTAAGCTTGTATAAAAATCATATTTGCTTTCTTCTTTTAATTAACATTTAATTTTAACAAATTGAAAACTTTCCTTCCTACTGGCAGTTGCTATTTTGCATGATTGTGTCTTACCTGTCGTTCTCCCTCTGTGCTGTTCTGCACCCTTACCGACACAGTCTGCTCAGATCCACAGATTTCACAGTGCTGTCCTTCCTGCAATCCAAGTGAAAAACCTCTCTGGCCGCATGGACCTTGCGATTATAGAATCCAGGGATGGAATTAACTGTGATTTAAAATTGAAGCAATGGGTGATATTTTTTCAGGATGGGTGAGGGATCAGTCACTGAGGAGTGTTATGTGTTTGATGCAGGGGCAGGTAAGACATGGCTCTGCTGTCTGTCGTGGAAGATGGCAGCTGCTGTGTATTAAAGTCAGAGCTAATCACACCTCTGAAAACTGGAAAATTTGACAGATATTTCTTAGCTATTTGTTGTTCTTGGATTTAAACTACATTAGTTTTAATAAACACTTAAATACAATATACAATCATTGGGGGGTTTTGGAAATGGAGTTTTCAAAACAAAGATCCCATTTCACAGAATGAAATGATAAATTTGACTTTCTTACAGGTAGCTTTTTTAATAAACCTCCTATTATATCCCAATAATAGAAAAAGTAGTGGGTGGAATAATTCTCCTATTTTTTTTTAAATGGACAACCAAAATTAGATTCTATTAGATCACTTTTTTAATGTTCTTTTTTTAGAGCCTGGCGAAGCTAACGGATGGATTCAGGAATAGCTGTTGTATTACAGACTCTCTGCGAGGTCTCCAGCACAATTCTGGTTCACTCAGTGACTCCTGTTTACCTCAACAACACTGTGATGCTTGTTCTCAAACTGACATCACTGGAGAGGTATGTGTTCCAATGTGAGATGTTTGCTGTGGAAAATAAGCTGCTTTTATGTTAGTCACATGATTATGGTTCGTTTTCCATTTTAATTCAAAGATGTTTTGGCTGTGGTGGAATGGATGCTTGGAAGAAAATACTGTTTGTTTTTTTCTCCATTTTTTTAAAAGAATCCATTTTAGTTTAATAGTATGCAAATAATGTTCACTAGTTATGTGCTTTGTGATTCTAATCCTCAAACATGCAAAAGGCCTTTGTGAAATGTGTTTGCAAAGGAATCTGCTCCTCAGTTCCATCAGTCTGGGCTGAAGTGATCACTTTCTTACCTTCGCCATGACTAATGGGCAGATGGCAAAGTAGATTTTGAATAATAGTTCCCCACAGGAGTGTTCACAAGCCTCCCAGTCTATGGTTTTGCCTTTTTATAGTGCAATTGTTGCCAGCTGTTTGCACCAAGCATCAAACTTTTACTAGTATTACAGCCATGCTGGAGGGGAAAAAATAAAGTGTTGTAGGTGCCCAATTTGACATTTGCTTCAAGGACTTGTTACCCTCTGAGCTGTCATGTTTCTTTACCACAATGGTTTCATCTTTTCATCTGGATTAAAAGATCCAAGATCTAAGTTGATTTCCACTCCTTTCTTCCAAGATAGAGAGAAATTTACAATTTAAATTAGGGCTCTAATATTTTTTCTTAATAAGAATCCACTTCCTTCTAGATCTAGTTGGTCAGCTTTCGCTGTCATTTCCTTCAAGTCCTTTTTAAAAACATGTTCAAGAAAAGTATAAGAGCACCACACTTAAACAACACAATGTGAATTACACTGTGATGTGCATGCCTGTTAAAGTGGTTACCATGCACTGCTACTTTGGTCATTTGAATTAGGTTTTCATGGGCAAAAAGTAAGCAACTGCATCTGAGGAAATTAGAAGTGTAGTTGAGAGCCCATTCACAGTGAGATAGTATAAGAATTTGAATGTTACTTCAGATACAAAGATTGTTACAATTCAAGATCTTTAAGTTAACCGCTTTTTCTGAGCGTTGTATACCATGCATTTTTCTTTGGTCCGTTTTCCCTCTAGTCCCTTTCACCCATGAGTGATGGGTGAGTAGAAAGGGAATTTTTTATAAATACGACGTGTGATTGTGGTCTGTGAAGAGTTTGAAGGAATTTATCTGGCACTAACTTTTTCTCACATGGTCCAAAGTGAGAGTCATGTGGTACAATTGGAAAGTCATTTGTTGAAACTGGTGGTGGGTCAGACTGCAGGCTCCTAGTTTACCAAAAGGATAATAGCCATATCCTCTGCTTCAGAATGCACACACAATACCATCCAAGACAAACCAACTACGGTATCTTTTGAAGACTAAGTTTGTATAGTATACATTTGGTTAGAAAATATAAATGTATAACTGCATAAGGATAACCCTTGCACTCCTGAATTTGAAAAATATTCTGGAGTGGGGGAATTAGTATCAGCTGATGGTTGAGTGTGGGAAATTGGTGGATTGTGTTACCTGTGCCTGAAGGTGCATAGAGTAGGATAGGCAACTGACAAGGGACTAGAAGCTCAGTGATCTGGTGTGTATGGGGATCTAGAGAAGTTATAGCTATTAAGCTATATGTGGCTGGCTGGGAGAGGAACTAAAGCTGCACGTGATAGAGCATATTGCCCGAGGAGGGTTTGCAGAAGAGAGCTAGCTTTGCTACAGTAAGAATTGCAGCATGGTGACAATGCTGAAACCTTTTGATTCAAGAAGCAGTTGTAGCACATTGGAATAAAACTGTTTAATCTGTTTATTTCTAGATAAATTTAAGCAAAGAGACATGGATTCCAGGGACTAAAATACTGAGTAATGCTTCAACATATAGGGAACATCTTTCTTTTTGCTTTGGAAGTAAAACCCCAATGACTTTGCACTGAATTTTCCCATAAAATAAGAATACTACTGTGATAAGCAATTAAATATTGCACTCATTTGATATATCCTGTACTTTACATTTTGAACTCTGACTTAGGAAGGTCTTGACAATGCATAATTAAGTGTTACTAACTCGTTTAATTTCCAGAAAGGCTGTTTTTACTGAGAGGGCTAACTTTACACTTACTGCACCTTTAGATAATTTATTAATAACCCAATTTCATATCTTAAGAATCCAAACTATCTCTTGCGGACACATTTTTATTTGAAACATTGACAGTTTTTTGGTAAGCTTGGGTGGGGAGACTACATTTTATTTTTAGTCTTTTTTTAAAATGTTTGTTACTAATGTGTGTTGTGTTTCTCCACCTTTCCTTCTCTTCCTGGTCCTCAACTCCAAAAAAAGTTTTGCTTTGATGATAAAACAAGACTTGTGGACAAAGTAAGACTGAGCTGGCAATATGAAGAGGCCAAAAAGAGGTAAGTAAACTTAAGCCTGTTATCTGTTCTTTGTGACTACAGCTTTGGAAATAGATTTGAAGCAAAGAAACGATATCACTTTCAGTTTACCTCCTGAAACAATTTTAGAAAGATTAATTAACTGAATTTGCTAGTGCTTAGTCCAGAGGTAGTTGAGGTTTGCTGTAACATAACATTATTAGTAAGATTACGATACTTGTTTTCAGGGGAAAATCCAAGTGTCAGACATATCAGAAGCCCCATATACATTTGCACTAGTTTAAAACTGTGGTTTTAAAGTGGCTTTGTTAAACTGTCGCAAAACCCTGTGTGGACACTCTTAAATTAATTTAAATCCAGTTTATATCTGTTTAGCTCTTTGGTAAATTTACAGGGCAAGCTAAACCAATATAACCAGTTTTAAGTCAATATAAGTATGACTGCATAAAGGTTTGCACTAGTTTAACTAAATCAGTGTAGATAAGGCTTAAAACTCAAAGCGAGCTAGTGAAAACAAAACTTTCTTAACTGAACAGCAGTGCTTTTAAACTTTTGAGATCTCTAATTAACAAAGGGTGGTTTTTATTTTTAAAAACAAAATGTTTGAAATTTGTTCATCCTTCACTAATTCCTTCGGACATACCTGCCTACCTAGTGATTTGACTTTTTTTTTTTTTGCATTAGTGTATCAATCCTGCAGAACATAACACTGTAAAAGTAAATTGGACACTCTTCTGGTTTATGCATCAAGAAAATTAACTAATTTCTGTTTGCTGTGCTACTTAGCAGCTCTATTCTCCTCAAATTACGTGCTCAGTTACACCTGTGCAATTGAAGGTGATAGGGTAGCACTAGTATAAATGGTAATTTGAGGACAATGAGATTGCATCGCTGTAACTGTGCTTTTTATAGGTAGGGTTGGTAGCACCGTTAAGATTGCCTGACACCTCCCACAACCATGTGTTCAGTAGCATATAACTTTGCCAAAACTTAACCTTTGGGTCTGACATTTTCCAAGCCAGGTGTCTGCCTTAGCCTAAATTTTTCAACATTTCAAGCAAAGTGGTTCAGGCATTTCTCAGAATGAGGCTAGAAAAAATAGATCCTTTGCTCATGATAAAAAATTCTGGTGACCTTTTCTTTTGGTAGCTATAGCACCCCCATGCTTGGGAGCAGAGTCTTGACATTTGGCAGGGGGTGAGGGTAACACTGTGTCAGGGATTTTCTTTTCTCCATTCCTGTGAAAATCAGAATAATCTTGGCCAAGGTTGAATAATTGCATTTCACACATGCTTGATGGTGACTTGCTAGAACTTCACATCTAAATTCTCTGAAGATTCTGTCCATACTGAGTATAACTCCAGCCCAGGCTAAGCAGGACTTGCCCTGCCACAGCTAAGCACCAGGACTGAAAGCAGGGAGGCTGACTCTCATCCATTCTCAGTGCACTGCTGCTGGACCCAGGAAGCAAGCAGCAGGAAGCGGTCTGATGTGAATGCAGGGGGCACAAGAGCTGGATGTGGGAGGAAGGGAGAGGGAGGAAATACATTGGGGCAAAGAATTGAGCAGGGGTTACTGGAGTTGACTGGACAAGGAGACTGGGACTGGGAGACATATTGCAAGAAACCTAGGGAGAGAGACTGGGATTGAGAGCCAGTGAGGATGGAGAACATGGGTAGTGGAGGATGGGGGAAAAGGGGAAAAAACGATTAGACAAGGTTCTGAGAGTGGGGGAACTGGGACTGGGTGGGTGAGGAGCAAGGGGGTGAGGAGGAACTGGGAATAGCTGAGCAAGAAGTATGAGAGGAGGAGTCCTGGGGGTGAGACAAGGACTTGTTGGGCAGTGAGACTGTGATTTAGGATTAGAAGCCTGAGGAGTGGAGGCTGGGACTGGCTAGGTGGGGAGAATGGCACTGGGACAAAGAGCCAGGGGTGGGAAACAGACAAGCATGTTGCAAGGCACGGAGCAGAAGAAGTCTTGGATGGAATGGACAGAAGAGTCTGTGTCCACCAGAGACAGTCCCTCCAAAGGCTGGAGTGGAACTTAAGATTCCTGAGCTTCCTCTGCTGCCATCAAATATCACTGAAACCTACTGTCAGAGGGTGTGTTTCATCCCCCTCTCCTGCCGGACCGCACAGAGCGGTGGTGCCCAAACTTTTCCTGTCGCTTTCCATACCAATAATGGAGGAACTGGGGGCCGAACTGGGTATGGGGGAGGAATTAGGGCAGAGGCGGAGTTGACGTGGGGGCAGAGAGGGAATGAGGGCAGAACTGGACTAGATGATGAGCAGGGGATGGAGTGGAACTGTGGCTGCGGCCAGAGCTGGGCAGGGGTTGGAGTGGAACTGGGGCTGGGGCCGGAACTGGAGTGGGGCTGGGTGGCACTCCCTACCCACCCCTCTCCCTTTTGGGGGCTGGCCCTGGCCCCACTGAACTTCCTGAACATTCATAGAATCATAGAATATCAGGGTTGGAAGGGACCCCTGAAGGTCATCTAGTCCAACCCCCTGCTCGAAGCAGGACCAATTCCCAGTTAAATCATCCCAGCCAGGGCTTTGTCAAGCCTGACCTTAAAAACCTCTAAGGAAGGAGATTCTACCACCTCCCTAGGTAACGCATTCCAGTGTTTCGCCACCCTCTTAGTGAAAAAGTTTTTCCTAATATCCAATCTAAACCTCCCCCACTGCAACTTGAGACCATTACTCCTCGTTCTGTCATCTGCTACCATTGAGAACGGTCTAGAGCCATCCTCTTTGGAACCCCCTTTCAGGTAGTTGAAAGCAGCTATCAAATCCCCCCTCATTCTTCTCTTCTGCAGGCTAAACAATCCCAGCTCCCTCAGCCTCTCCTCATAAGTCATGTGTTCTAGACCTCTAATCATTTTTGTTGCCCTTTGCTGGACTCTCTCCAATTTCTCCACATCCTTCTTGTAGTGTGGGGCCCAAAACTGGACACAGTACTCCAGATGAGGCCTCACCAATGTCGAATAGAGGGGAACGATCACGTCCCTCGATCTGCTCGTATGCCCCTACTTATACATCCCAAAATGCCATTGGCCTTCTTGGCAACAAGGGCACACTGCTGACTCGTATCCAGCTTCTCGTCCACTGTCACCCCTAGGTCCTTTTCCGCAGAACTGTTGCCTAGCCATTCGGTCCCTAGTCTGTAGCGGTGCATTGGATTCTTCCATCCTAAGTGCAGGACCCTGCACTTATCCTTATTGAACCTTATTGAACCTCATTGAAATCATCAGATTTCTTTTGGCCCAATCCTCCAATTTGTCTAGGTCCTTCTGTATCCTATCCCTCCCCTCCAGCGTATCTACCACTCCTCCCAGTTTAGTATCATCCGCAAATTTGCTGAGAGTGCAATCCACACCATCCTCCAGATCATTTATGAAGATATTGAACAAGACCGACCCTTGGGGCACTCCACTTGATACCGGCTGCCAACTAGACATGGAGCCATTGATCACTACCCGTTGAGCCCGACAATCTAGCCAGCTTTCTACCCACCTTATAGTGCATTCTTCCAGCCCATACTTCCTTAACTTGCTCACAAGAATACTGTGGGAGACCGTGTCAAAAGCTTTGCTAAAGTCAAGAAACAATGCATCCACTGCTTTCCCTTCATCCACAGAACCAGTAATCTCATCATAAAAGGCAATTAGATTAGTCAGGCATGACCTTCCCTTGGTGAATCCATGCTGGCTGTTCCTGATCACTTTCCTCTCATGCAAGTGCTTCAGGATTGATTCTTTGAGGACCTGCTCCATGATTTTTCCAGGGACTGAGGTGAGGCTGACTGGCCTGTAGTTCCCTGGATCCTTCTTCTTCCCTTTTTTAAAGATTGGCACTACATTAGCCTTTTTCCAGTCATCCAGGACTTCCCCCGTTCGCCACGAGTTTTCAAAGATAATGGCCAATGGCTCTGCAATCACAGCCGCCAATTCCTTCAGCACTCTCGGATGCAACTCGTCCGGCCCCATGGACTTGTGCACGTCCAGCTTTTCTAAATAGTCCCTAACCACCTCTATCTCCACAGAGGGCTGTGGTCCTCAGGTCTCCCTGTGGGGGCACACCCCACAGTTTGGAGACCCCTTAGTTCAAATGGCAGAAGTCTGTGTGGGAGATCTAAAGGTTCCAATGCTACTAATCATCCACATAGGTGTCAATATGATGCTATTTGATAGAATTTTTGTTTTTTCAGTTTTTTTTTTTTAAAAGCAAGGAATTTACACAAAAACTGTGTTAAAAGAACACTATTACAGTTACAAAGTCAAGCATTTAGAAGTTAGGAAATGCCAGAATTAAGGCTGTCTGTGCACCCTTTGTGCATACAAGCAATGTGATACAATCTTTAATAACATAATCACACACCTTTTTTCCACAGATCCCCTCCCTCTTTCAGTGCATGGTATGGACCTGATCTGGAAATGAATCAGGGTCCTGTAGTGAAAGGGAGGCTATAGTCTCCAGGACCTGTTTCACGTGTACCAGAAGTTGGGAGGTGTGTAGTGAATTAGGCAGTGGATTGCAGGAAGAGACTGGAGGGTGTCATTGTTAAAGTCGTTAAATGCTGCTCTGGAGAACAGGATTCTGTCCCTGCCTCTGTCACAGAAGTCCTGTGTGATGCTTGTTAAATCACTTGTTTCAGGGCTGGTAGTTGGAAGAACTTCTATTTAATTAAAAAAAAAAAAAACCACTGTGTTTTAGTTAGTCTCTAAGGTGCCACAAGGCATCCTTGTTGTTTTTATAAGACCTAATTTAATCTGAAATTTCGAGGGGGTAGGAGCTAGGAATTTAATTCTTTGATCTGGTTAAAAGTTTTTCAAGTTGTTGCTCCTTTTCATTTACTTCAAAGAGTTAAGGAATCCTGTTTTGTTTGTTAGGGCCAACACATATGCCACTTAATTGTCCAACTGTGATTGTGAGTTTGGAGGGAAGAGAAAAACTAATATATTTCACTGGGTCATTACTTTTTATATAATTGAGAAAACATGACTGAGGAATGATTCAAA